GGCCGAATGAAAGGGCGTCAACGCCGCGCCGGTGACTCGGCCCAGCTCAACCGCCTGCATAAATCTTCTGCCGCTCACACACCGGCGGATCGACCTACCTAAAGTTGACCTCGTGGTGTATTTGCTTTTCGTTCTTGGGTCGGTCGGGCGCACGATCCGTTGACTCAGGCTAGCCAACCTGAATTGCATCACCGCTCCGCCTACAGCGAAATATATTCCGTGCCAGGGTGAGAGAAATCCTAGCTGGTGGCTCCCGTAAGCTGGGGAAACCAGGGTGCAGCGCAGGAGGAGCTTTTCGCAGAGCCGCCTGGACATGTCCCACATGCTTGCTGTTGCATGTATTATTACATACACCCCGTTCAGATAGATCCAATTGCGTACACGGTTTGCTAGATTTTCTCCCCCCCGTCGGTCCTACGTCAAGTGTCGTATAAAATCTGCCTCTCCCCATCACGTCCAGGAGCTTGGTCCAGTCTCGACCCATTGACTCGAGAATCCGAGCCAGACTCTTGGCCAACTTCCCATTGAACTCAATTCCCCTCGACCGTGCCCCCGTGACATCGTCGGCATTGAAAACAATGGCGGCCACATCGTCAACCTCGACCGTCCAGCTGCAACAGCTGAACCGTCCTCCCAACCCCAAGAACGCCACGCTCCTCAACTCCGAAGGCCACCGCCTGGGCTCGCATGAGGACATCACCGGCGGTCTCCCGGCGCCGACGACAACGGCCACCGTCACCCAGAAATGGAACTATCCCAGGGCCAACGCGAACAGGGTGCTCTCCTGCTTCTGGAGCCTCTTCGTCTCGGGCGCGAATGACGCTGCCTACGGTGTAAGTCACCTCCCGTCTCCCATCTCACAGCTCAAAATACTAACACAGCCCCAGGCCTTGATCCCCTACGTGAGTGCTCACTCCAATCTCATCCTCATCTCATCAAGCTTAACCTAACCCCCGTCAACAGCTCGAATCGTACTACAACCTCTCCTACGTCGTCGTCTCGCTGGTCTTCCTCTCTCCGTTCGTGGGCTACGTCCTCTCCGCGCTGCTCAACAATTGGATCCACCTTAAGGTCGGCCAGCGCGGCATCGCCGTCATCGCCTCCTCCTGCCACATCGCCGCCTACGTCGTCATCTCCCAGCACCCGCCGTACCCGGCCCTCGTCGTCGTCTACATCCTCGCGGGCTTCGGCAACGGCATCTCCGACGCCGCCTGGAACGCCTACATCGGCAACATGGACCGCGCCAACGAGGTCCTCGGGTTCATGCATGCATTCTACGGCGCCGGCGGCGTCATGAGCCCGCTCATCGCCACGACCATGATCGACAAGGGGAAGCTCGGCTGGTGGACGTTCTACTACGTCTTGGTACGTTTCACTCTCCCTGTCTCTTTCCCGCCCAACGCTAACAATCGCACACAGCTCGGCATGGCAGTCATCGAATTCGTCTGGTGCACCTCCGCCTTCTGGACCCAAACCGGCGCCGTCTACCGCGAGACCATCGCCCAAGCAAACGCCTCCTCCCCCAACGGCGGCAGCGGCAACAGCACCATGCGCGCCGCCCTCTTCAAGCGCCCCTACGCCCGCGTCTCCTGGCTCTGCGCCGTCTTCCTCCTCGCCTACGTCGGCGTCGAGGTCTCCCTCGGCGGGTGGATCGTGCAGTTCATGATCCAAGTCCGCAAGGCGAACCCCTTCGACTCGGGCATGACCTCCGTCGGCTTCTGGCTCGGCATCACCCTCGGCCGCGCCCTGCTCGGCTTCGTTACGCCCAAGCTCGGCGTCAAGCTCGCTGTCGCGATCTACATCCCCGTCGCCATGGGACTGGAGCTGCTCTTCTGGCTCGTCCCGCAGTTTTACGTGTCCGCCGTCGCCGTCGCGCTGCAGGGCTTCTTCCTCGGGCCGTTCTTCCCGGCTGTCGTGGTCGCGGCGACGAAGCTGCTGCCGCGACACCTGCATGTGAGCACCATCGGGTTCGCGGCGGCGTTTGGCGGGAGCGGCGCGGCGATTCTGCCGTTTGCGGTCGGTGTGTTGGCGCAGGCGAAGGGTGTGCAGGTCCTGCAGCCCATTATCTTGGCGTGTTTGGGCATCATGCTTGGGCTGTGGCTTTGCCTGCCTAGGATTGGACATAAGGAGGAATAAGAGAGAAAGAGATGGTGGAGGAGAGGTGGTGCAGCATGTTGGGTAGTGTCACGATGTGTCCGGTCTAACAGCAATTTCACATCAAATAGAGAATTTTAGCAATACCAAATCATCCTGATTGACTTGTTCTGACGAGGACCGTCTTGCTACACCAATGTGCTATTTACGTCCTTCCGTGCCTGTCCGTTGTTCATCATTACCAACCAGCAACATGCCTGCTCAAAGCCAAAACCCGAAGCCAAAGAATGTCATCTTTCTCGATCAAATCTGGAACACCTGGTTCAGGTCGCGACGCAGCTCCTCGGCCGAGTTCTTCTCCGTCGCATCGGCAGTGCGGCGAAGAGCACGGGTGCGCATCTCCTCCGAGTCCTTCTCCATGATGTTGTCAGTCGCACTGGGAACGCCGAGGCGGCTGTTCTTCTTGGCTCGGTAGACATCCTTTGCAACCCATCGGTTCATGTCGGCTTGCTTCTCATTAGCTTGCTTGAGGGCGGCCTCGAGGGCGGCGATCTGAACGTCCTTGGTGGCGTTCTTGTCCTGGAGCTCCTTGACCTCGAGCTTACCGTTGGCGTTGTCCTCGACCGTAGACCGGTTCGCGGCCTTCTGCAGCTGGTGGAGTTGAGAAGCGTAACCAGCGGCACGAGCTGTCTCGGCCTCAAGCTTGTTCTCGACAGTGCGGACGTGCTCCTCAGCGCCCTTCTTCGCATTGGCGACCTTTTCGAGCATCTTCTCAATAATGCGCACGTACTCCTCAGTCTCCTTCTGCTCGGCGAGCTCGTTCTTGAGGTTCTGGGTCTCCTCTTTAGCCTCCTGCAGCTCGGATTGAGCAGTTTCGAGATGCTCCAGAGCTTCGTTCTTGTCGGACTCGAGACGACGATACTCATCTTGAAGGTCATCCATCTGGTCTCGAACTTCGCGGACCTCTGCCTCTGCCTGCTTAATCCGGAATTCGAATCCTCCCTCGTTCACGTCATGATGTAGGTTTCCAAGAAAGTACTCCCATTCCTCGGTCTGGCCCTCGAGGTCGGCCTTGAGAGTAGTGTGCTGCTCTTGAAGGGTCTCATACTCGTTCTTCAGAGCCTGATTGTCATTCTTGAGAGTAGCGTGCTCTCCCTTGAGCTTCTGGTATTCACGGTCGTTGGTGATCAGAACCTGAACGTTGGCCTGAGAGGCGGCAAGCTCGGTCTTCAACTGAGCATTCTGACCCAAGAGGGCTTCATGCTGGGTGCGCAGGTTGTTGTGCGCCGCCTGGAGTCTGACAGTCCTAGGGGTGACGGTGACGAGCTCGGTATAGTACCGGTCGCGCTGCTGCTTCAAGTCGTCACACTGATGCTGCAAGTTTTCGCGGACACCAGCAATGTTGGTGAGCTGGGCCTGGAGCTGGTCGCGCTCGGTGATGGTGTTGGCCAGCTGTCTCTCAGACTCGGCAGCGGCAGACCTGAAGTCGAAGGCCACATCGGATCCGAGCTTCAGGACGGTGACGCGATGCTTCTCAATCTCGACGTGGACGCGGCGTCTCTTGCGGTCATTTCCCTGGTTGTTGGCTCCATTACCATTGTCTCCGGCATTGGCATTGCCGTCGAAGTTCTGGTGGGCAATGGCCTGGTTACCGGCAGGATTGTTGTTCTCGTTATCGTTCTTGCCAGGGGCAGTCCAGGTAAGGGTCAGAGAGTCTGCGCGCGGGTTGTTTCCAAAGGCGAACTCGCTGTCGCCGCAGCGGAAGGAGACGGGATGGTTCACACCGTCCATCTTGACGATCTCCAAGGCGTTCTTTCCAAGAAGATCCAAGAAGCAGGTGGGATGTGTGTTTTGTGCAAGACAAAAAGAAAACTGCCAAGAGGTTTCTTTTCACCGGGAAGGCGATAGCTTCAAGGGAACAATCAGACAGTGAAAGGGGGAAGGATAAATACGTTTGAGAGCGTACCTTGTGTATGTGAATATGGGCTGCAGAAGGAAGAAAGAGATTTGTTTTTCTCCTGGGAGAGGTGTTGTTAAGGGAAGGGAGGGTGGTAAACAGAAAGGTGAGAGAGGACCTCGTTCAAAAATGATTTTGTGGGAAGGCGGTTGAGGGCGTGGGAGGTAGGTGAGGGAGGAGGCAGGTGTAAGAGGAAGGCGCACCTCTGGGTTGTTCTTTCCCTCTAGGTAGATTGAGATTGTCAGTCTGCCAGTGATTCATCCACCCATTGGCCTCGTTCACGTCAGACTTTTCCAACTCTAGGAAGGAAGCTGCGATCGTTGCGACGCGGCTGCCCCCGGGGACTTTCTACCTGCTCCCAAACTTGCTAATCGCTTTATGTCCAAGTAGAAGTAACCTGGAAGCTTTCCCGTAGATAACGATGATGTAGAGCTTAACACAAAGGCGAAATTATTCGTACCTACTTGCTAAACAAGAAAACACGACCATCCTTATATTGGTTTACTAAGATAACTTACTGCTTTGAAACGCACCCCCATTATGAACTAGCGACACCATGTTGGCAATCCATGATATGATGATGTTAAGTTGCAAATGGCTGCTAAGATACCACCTACCTTAGAGACAAGATGATAGCCGAAACTTGAAATATTATCCAAGCAATTGTATTGGCAGTACAATACCTTCCATTCGAGACCGGTGTGGTAAATGCAATGCTCTCCCTTCCCCGATCCCGTCACTCGAGCTAAACTCTCAACCCAAACTTCTCACAGTGGGACACATAATCACAACATCGCAACTTTGGACTAAGCCTTTTTCAACACATATACGGGTTGAAATTCCCATTGATCGTCCAGTCACAAATGTCTAGTCCTCGTTTTCTTGCACCGGGCACATTTCCGCGAGCCTTGGGCATACGACCACAGCAAAGTTGCGTGCCGATCCAAGAATGTGGGCAGTACAACCTCAGTATCACGTCGTCGACAATATCACTAAGCTGACAAAGATGGCCCGCGAAGGCGGGTGTCCGACAGTGGATTCCGATATACAGTCCAGCTTTTACGGACTACACTCACGCGCAAAGTCAGCATCGCCGGCTGCCTACCGAAATCGACGTCCTCTGCGTCCTTTCCCGACTTCAGACGCCGGGCCCGAGCACCAGGACAGCTGTCATCCCCAGGGCCCAGACCGTACTTACCCCGCGCGCGGGAAGAAAATCGATGGAACATCCGGGTCGGAGGCACACACGCGCACACACACAATGACGAAGTCTGACGATACGCGGATGGGCGTCTAGAACAACTTTTCGTCCAGAAAATCACCACACTGCTCCGAAGCGCGGACGACGATGACGACGGGGCCGCCTAAAAGATCGTAAGGCGTACTAGAACGGGACAACCTTCCGGGAGCTCGGATGAAGCCAATGATGGCGGCGAGGATCGTCCGCATTTTGGGTTCGTCGCCTCTCTGTTTGCCTTCCCAGATAAAGGCACACATTCCATACCGTAAGTTGGCGGTTTGGAAGGCCAGATGGATCCATGAGCATGGCAAGTTCCGGCTTCACCACGTTCCTGCGGAACCCAGCCCAATGTTTGCAGAAGTTTTTGGCGAAAGATCGGATTGCTGATGACTGATGATGAAGAATCAGGGGGAGGGGAGGAGCGGGGGGCATCTTATGATTTTGGGGTGTCGAGCTGATCTTTCTGCCTCCAAACTCACCCGGAGCCTGGGCAATTACTCTCGGGAAGTATCTCTTATTCCGTGGATGGGGAGAAAAGAGAGCGTGGATCCAGGGGATTGAACGATGAAGTGGAGGCGCCACGCAGGCCTCTTCTCGGCCGAGCGAGCTGTAGTTCGGATCCTAATGTGAGTCTGGCGTAAGATGGAGGACGGGCGTCAGATCGGAAGGACTCTCTAGCGTGGAAGTTTATCTAGGTCTTGGGGATTGGGAGGGCAGGAAGGATTTTGTCTCCTTTTCACGCAAGTGACGGGCACACGACGGACAGCGACGGTAAGGTCGATTCTTTGCCTGTTGCGGAAAGGGCCGGCGAAGTTGAGCAGCGCCATTTTAGGTTCGGCTGGGAGACGGCGTGACGTTGGCGAACCGGTGTAAGAGGATCGTGCGCTTGTTCGCCGGCGGGAGAGGAACGGCGATCGGGGTTTCGGGCTTTTTTTCACTTGGGAAATAAAGATGGGATCTTTTGGAGGAAGCAGGAAGGGGGCGGCCGGCCAGTCAGTAAGCGTCTCGGAGGCAATTCCGGCTCAAAACACTGAGAGCAATCCTGTGCAAAGGAGAGAGAACCTCCAGATGGTGGTTTACGGCGCACGGGGGTTCAAAGTTTGAGATGAATATTGAGCTCTAGTGGATTTGGTCGCGAAATTTCTCTTTCCTCGTCTGGAGATTGGAATTATGAGACAGATAAGGTTGCGTTTCGTGTTGTGGTCCCTGGCAGGAATTGGAAATGCTGTGAGACGTCGTGCGATTCCCGAGGACGAAGTCGCATGGGCCAGGTGAAATGGTAACATGGACGCTGGGGATGACAGGAGGTCGGTCGCTTCCTTCGGGACCCGACTCTCCGAGAAGACATCCAGATACGATATGGTCTGAGAAACGAGGGCGCTCGCCGGAATCATACGACGAAGATGGCTCCCCCCCTCCTCTGGTCTAAGTTGGTAGTGGTCGGCAACCGAGAGACTGGATACTAGGCCCAACTTTTTTCCTTCGTCCCACTCCTGGTGGATGGCTGTCTTTTTATCTATGCGCGAACAACCGCGCGTGAGCTTGTCTTTGGCTGGACGTTGGTTCGGGCGAGCCAGGTGAGGAATGGCTTAGCCCTGGCGTGTGAGACGTTCGTGAAAGGACCTACTTGGACATTTTTGGGAACGTCTCATACGGATGGGTCGGCATGGGGCCTGAAACCCAGACAACGAGTTGGGGAACAGCATCTTGAAGGCGGGTTTGATTTTCCTCCACGGGCGCCTTTGGCCTCGCCTTCAATTAATTTGATTTCCTGAAGAAAATCTGGCGATGCAGGCCATCACGGGCAGCGTCTACACTTTCCTCCTTCCTCTCGGCCGTTACAGCCGAGGAAGGAGGTTCAGCTGGGAGAAAGTCCAGACGAGACGAAAGAAACAAGAAAGTGGCTGTGCCGCGGCGAAAACAGAGTTGCGATGAACAACAACCTTGGTCAAGTAGAGACGATGACAATGTCTGTTTTGAGTCGCGCACATTGAGTCGACACCGCGGCAGCTTGGAAAAGAGACACCAAGAAAGCCGAGGATGATCGACGCAGGGTCAACAAGGTTGTTGTCGCTATCACTGTTCTCCTCGAAGCCGGCGACCGCTTATCAGACCTCGACAGACTCAGCAGCCTTGTAGGGTTTCTGTTTTTAAAATTGGGGGTCCAGCGGGTTGCAGATGGTAGCTTGATGTGGTTGTCGCGAGTTTGCCATATAGTGCCAAGACGGCGGCGTCGTTGACAAGCTTGGTCAAGCTGCAGCGGCGGGGTGGATGCCGATCCATAATGTTTAATGATGGACGGCGTCGACTTGATAAAGTCGCTCACGTCGTCGAGAAGAGGTGTAATATGAGAGATTGCGTTCTCAATGACTTGAGAAAAATGCCTCATTTGTGTTTTGGCTTTGGTTCCGATCTTAATGTTAGATGGAGCAGCTGGGGGAATTGTGGGAAGAGCTGGAAGTGAGAGCGCGGGCGATGGTGGTCTAGAATGCGTGGGACGACGGAACCCCGTTGAAGGCGCGTTCGAAACGTAACTGTGGGATTCGTTCCGTTTGGCCAGATGGAGGGCCGCGTACCCGAAGGCTTCGCGGTTCTGTCATTGTGCGTCTCTGGAGCAGTCGAGGCCAGCCAGTTGGGAGGAGAGCTGGAGCTTTCGTGGGCGGTGCTGGTGCGGCTGGGGGGGCCAGTCGGGAGTTTTCTTTTTGCCATTGGGGGAGCATCGCAAGGGCGAAGCTGTGAATGGAGCACTGGGTGTTACTCTTGGTCAACCAAGCAGTGGGCTTGCAAGGTGATGAGGTAGCTGGCGTGTTTCTGGGAAAGGGTTTGCATATGGAAGGCAACCAGTATCAACCCTGGAGGCGCCGTTTTGGGCAGAGGAGGTGCGGAGGCCACCGTCGGGACTCTTGCCGGGCGACACAAAGGGCACCCTGCGGCGGTACTTTCTCTGAGAGCGACGGGTGAGACAGAGACGAGGTACCTGGGAAAGCAAGTCAGTCGGGTTGGGCCCTTTGGATGGAGAGGTAATCCATACTTTGACTTGACAGCATTTGCAAATTGAGAGACGTGGTTGGTTAGGGTGCGAGTGCTTGGACGGTAAAGCAAAAAGGAAAACGGCAAAAGCATCTGATAATGACTTCACTGCATGGCTCTTTCAAGCGGGTTCCCGAGTCTGTTTCTTCGGGTTGTTCCCCCCTTTGTTAGAGTCGTCGTCCGTCCAATCTCCAATCTGTGTTCTGTATGTGTGGAGGGTCGAATTGTCGAGATTGAAGCCGGAAGTTATGGGAGAATCGTCATTAAACACGGACGGGAGGCAGACGACACATCACTTTCTCTTTGCAAGAGTGGAAGGCCAAGGCACGGAAGGTAAGGCGGGATGGTGCAAGGTACGGATATCGACTGTCGAGAGGTGCACAGAGTGGACCCGGAGGACGGAAAGCGATTGGCAACTGCTGGGCAGTTCGGTCCCAATTACCGAGTGACCAGGCCGTTTTTCATTTTGGATGCCGTCAAAATCTCTTGTTTCTCTGGGTCAGAGATTCCCCCTATTTTCTTATTCCGTTGTTTACTTGATTACTGTGGCACATGCAGGATCCAATAGGATGGAGGCGACGGCGGCTGGGTTGGCTTCTGGAACATGCCAACGACGTCTCTTCCCACAAAAGCCCATACTACGCAGCAGAGAGTGGTGGTACGCGTGTTTGGGATGGATGCCATGTCTCTGAGGTCAATGTATGTCTCTGGGGGAGAAGCAAAGACAGCTGTCCGTGTCTTGTCTGTCTTGTCTTTGTTGCCGGGGAGGGTTTTCCCCTACATCCATGGCATAGCAATATGAAGCATATATGTCTGTATGTTGCCTATCTTACCTTAAGTGTCTTTTTGCCTCTCGACGGCTGAGGCCTGTGTAAGAGCTTCTCAGGCTGGAGGAGGATGTCGAGCAAGCAATTGGATCGCGTCGTGGGCGCAGGGATGACCCCCTTGGGCGCTAACACAGGCGTTGGGGCCGCGGTAATGGGCCGGGCTGGGTAGTGCATGGCTCGCTGGCATGGCTGTGATGATATTGGGGACGGATATTGTTTTGTTTTGCAAGTTTCCCCCCCTCTCTTCAGCTCGGTAAGGGATGGGTAACGTAATTAGGCCGATGAGGTTTTTATATGCTTATGGAAAAGTGAGCAATATCGACATGATGCCCTGCCTTAGGGTAAGGTAGATGGAAGAAGAGACTTGCCTCCCTGAGTATGGGACGCAGCAAGGCACAGACAGCAATGGCACGGCAGCATCGCAACACCACAGCTTCACGACGCATGGAGTGCCTCTGGCCCAGCGGCTACTTCGAGACAAGCACGGGAGCAGACAAATGGGTCCCCTCCAAGCTCCCACCTCAGAGAGAGAGAGAGGGTGAGGGTGAGGAGGGCCCCTCGGTTGTCGTGTGCGTGAGAGAGTCCCGTCTTCTGCAGAGAGCAGAGCATGGAAGGTACTTGGGTACTGCATATTAGAGCCCCCAAAGCCTCAAGTGTGAGTGAAGGTGAGGGTGGCATCCCAGTCGTGGGCCAGTCCTGGTCCTGGTCATGGCCGTGGTGGTCCTCTCCTGGGCATGGTCATGGTCTTGGCCCTGGCTCGGCCAAGGTCTCTGCTAAGGTACCCATCCATATCTATTACGCTACTGCTGCTGCTACCGGGCTGGCACAGGCACCAGGGCGCTCTTGTCACTGGATGGCGGGCAGAAGTACTGCTGGGGCCCTACCTGGATCCCTTCCACGCCTGCCCTGCACCTGAGGTGGAGGGGCGGAGGTGAGGGAGCTGTTCGTTCAGCGAGCGCCATTGCAGGTAGCATGGGCAGCACGCTGCAAGCAATTCCTAGGTAGCAGCACCGGGGCACACCTAAAGGTAAGGTACCTAAGCGGCGGGCAGCAGCGGCGGCATTGGAACCCCTCAAAGCAGCAGACCACCATTAGAAGGTCGGAATCCCAGATCGTACCTTACCTAGGCACCCTACCTACCAGTGCCTTGCCTGCCTCTTGGGTACCTTCGCAGAAGGTACTTCCTGCATCGTACTAAAA